TGCTCCTCTTTGCATTGCGAGCGACATGGAATGAATCAATTTTCAGACATTCTCTTGAACCCTAAAAGCCTAAAGCTGAAATAGGGCCCTAAAGCCGTAAACCCTAAACTGTCCTGAAACCCTAATCTGTAGCGTTGGCTTAAACTCGGATGGGACCTTCGTTGCTAAGGAAGGCTATGTGCGAGCCGGCCACTGGCTCGTTCGCTGCGATCGTGGAGAACGACCCAGAGACTTTCGGTGCGGTTTAGGGTTTAGGGTCGGGAGCGGCTTTGGCTGACTGGCTAGTGGTTGTGGAGGAAAGGGTGCTGGATACGAATGACCAAGTGGCCGCTGCCAAATTTCGAGTATGCTGTGGTGGCTTCATGAGACTGCCCGATATTTCCAAATCTGACAAGCATGCGATGTTCTTGCCAACTTGCTTAACGTCAGGTCCAGCCACCTGGAAGGAGGGCAGGAAGGTTGGCCTCCGTCAGCCTTCGCCGTGTACTCAGCCCCATGGCTGGGATTCATCTCCAGGGCCCGAACGTGTTTGCTGTATGAACAAGGTTGAATGCTTTCCTATAGCAGGACGAGGGCGAACCTTGCCTATCCTGCCGAAACAGACAACGCTGGTCTGAATGTCACCCTAAAGCCCTGCATACCCAAACCTTTGCCGCCCTAAGCCCTCTACCGACGAAAAGCCATCTATAACTCTCAACGCCAAACCACGAACCCTAGAGCCCTAAGCCCAAGAGGTGGCGGACCTGGAGAGACTGTTAGATGTGAAGGTCAACTTCCCAGAAGACTGCTCCTCAGCCGCAGGTATCAGGGTTCGCGGTTCAGGGGTAATTTGTGGGTTTTTTGGGGGACCAGCATGGCATCTGAGGGTTTTGTAGCAGCTGGAAACCGTGGCTCGTTTGAGCGACTCCTGAATTTCAAGCTTCGGCGGAAGTAAATCCGAGAAGCTGAAGCCCCATCCCGTGTTGTTGCCGATGTCTAGACTGGTGTACAAAGGACCGTTAATACTTAAGAACAGGGTTTTGGGGTCTGTTATACTACAATTATAAGGAACCCCCAAAACCCTATTCTAATAATAAAGGCTCCTAGATTAGCCCTTGTCAAAGGCGTGTAGCCTCGAACCATTTCCACAAAAGAGCGCGAAACGAACGCCAGCTACAAAATCGATCCTTGATCGAACACCATCGACGGCTGAACCGAACCATCTTCAAAGTCAATGTTCCAGAACTTCTAGCGTCGCGGCTTTGGGATGTGATAGATTAGGGCGTATTGAAGATACTTGCGACTGGAGTACAAGGCTTCCCAGCTGCCCAAAAAAAGGTTTAGTCGACGAGAAGCACATTCCCGTGCCTATGTGGGGCCAGGAGCCTGAGAAATGTGTGCCTGCTGTTTACTGGTCTCGTCATTATAGACCCAATGTAGGTCACCTAAGTCGGCTTCCTGACGGACGAAGAAGCTGGAAACTCATGACCCTTCATCTCACCTCTTATTCTCCATTTCCAGATTTCTCGCTGGAATCCTGGGGCAACCAGTCGCTTCGCGATGGTGTTTGCTTCTTTCTACTCTAAAAACGTTCCTCACACGGGGGTGGGGGGGTTTAAAAAGGGTTTTTAGAGGGCCTCAGGCTTCCTAAATGCCGAACGGAGACTGGCCCCCTTAAACCCTAAACCAGGAGGAATTAGCGTTTAGAGTTTAGGCCCAACTGGCCCTCCAGGAGAAGCAACAGCCACTGATCCCTTCAAAAGACCAGCCGGGCAAGCTGACAATCAGGCGCCCCATAGTAGTTCCTTTTTGGGGCTACCTGATAGGGTTCTATATATGAACTCCAAAAAGGAACTACTTTAGGGCCTATGGGTACGGTCTCGAGCTTCAGGGCTCAGACCCTAGTGCAGGCGTCGGAGTGTGTACTTGTTACTTGCAACAATAGTGCGCCCTTATAGTCCCTACTGCAAGTAGTGTACAGTACACCCAAAACATCCCTAATCCAACTTTCCCCGTAGGGTGTTGGCTTCCAGGGAAGGTGTCTGAGGTGATTCAGGGAGTAGCACTCCCCAGCAGAGATGTCGCCCTAGCTCTTGAGAAGTAGGCTTTAGAGGTTTCCTGGCATAATTTAGGGGCCTAATAATTACCTATACTATTTTTTTTGGGGGGGGGATCCTTATTATAAGTATAGTATAATGGGCCCCAAAACCCTATTCTAATTATCAGGGCCCATATGTTATGCACAGGCCAGGTGTAAAAGGGGGTCCCATATTCAACTGGCAATGGCCGACACGCTCAGTCCGAACTGCCGGCACAGCTCTTTGCTGGGAGGTTGCTTCATATTGGTGGAAAACGCGTGCACTACAAGGAGTGCCTTATCAGCATTTTGGGGGACGTTTACTTCGGGCTTGCTCGCCCATAACAGCCCTATAGCACACGCTGCTTGAGCCTGTGCTATCGGTTTGTTTGTGTTGCCTTGATCTGAGTTTTGGACTTCAAGTTTGTCGACAGCATTGGAAAGTAGGTGCCGGGACATCATGCCAGGGTGGCTTGTATGCACCTACACTACACCCCAAAACGTGCAGGACGTGAAGCCCTAAGCTTGATTTAAGACGCAAAGGAAGCTTCGAGGAAGGGTGTGCCCTGCAGTAGCCCGTCTAGTCTTACGCGAACTTATAAACATGGGTGCAGTGGTGAGACCTTGATCCCAAGGAGAGTTTGGATTCAATTCGAGACTGCCTTCGGGCCAGCCGCTGACTTCGGCGACACTTCGTGCCATTAAGCGCCACGAGACGTATTGCCTGATTTAGGTGTTCTGCTGATGCAAACCCGAACATCTTGCCGTCATGAATGATGACGCTGGTCTTGACAGTAATATTGTCGTTGTGGCATCGATGAAGATGCTGGTCCGACGAACGTGGTGATGTAACGACGATGATGATCAGGGCCGTGGACTTTATCATGTAGAGATGACCATGCTTGTGGTGTTGATGGTGCTGCTGATGCTGGTGGCTGATGACGGCGACAATGATTCTGAGCATCGTGCAGGTGGTCGTAGTGGTAGGCGGGATCGTGAGATGCTGGTCATGGTTCATGCTGATATTGACTATGATGGTTGGAGCTGCGCTGCCAGTGACGGTGATCACCAACAATCAGCTGCACATGAGTCTAATTAGTGTGAGAGACTTTCAGCTGAATGATGCGAGTAGGAGTAGGCATGGTAACCAGAAGCAGCCAGTATAGACCGCACATACAGAGCACGAGCGACGAAGCACGGACGTCCAGACGCTGTAGGCCAGGGCAGTTTTGGTTTCAGCACGTAGGGCCCAACATGTCTCTAGTTGTTTGGCAAATGAAGGTTCCAAAGAGTAAGAGGTGAGGGCCAGAAGGATGGCTTTAGTTGGGAACTCCCTGGGGCAAAGTGCCGGAGATGGAAATGTGTCCTGCTGATCTGGGCATCATGGATTATATAGTGCAGGTTGCTGCTTTTCGCTACGTTTTCGCTGTGGTACTGTTGCGACGGCTGCTAGCATCGGGTGTGTTTCTTGCTTTGCGTGGTGTTGCTAGATGCTCTTTGTTTAGAGTTCACAGACATTGCAGGATGTTGATCGAATGGTTCCGTCTCTGCTTCGATTGAACCATTGAGGAATCAGTGCTAGGTAATATGCACTGACCTGCTGAGGAAGCTTTCGTGCTGGAGCCGCCGCCTCCAAAATCTTGGCCGGGAGCCTATGGCTGGCCTGGTCATTGGGGTGTAAATGAGGGCGCTCAAGGCCAGTGTTTGGCTATCGTGGTTGCCACCTCTAAGCTCCGCCGACTACTGTTCCTCCTACAACTGACTCTTGAAGCATCACTCGCTGCAAAAGCATGTTCCACGAGGCTCATTTCATGTCTGTCTGGACCTGGTCACTTCAACTAAGACTACTTCCACCGCCACTGCCACTTCTACTGCTACTGCTACAACTACCTGCTCTAACCACTATCCACTAACTATTAACCGGTAACCAACAGCTGCAATCACCACCATGGTAGAGAGTCGACGTTGCTTAGGTGTGTGGGTATAGGGTTCCGGGATGGACCCTTCGTCAGGTTCACCAGCATTGGTTTCACCCGATCTGGTCTGCAGTCTGAAGGCCTGCAGCTAACTTGCAGCTCCTGAATGCCTTACATCCTGGCTTTGGCGATTCAGCGGACTTTTGAATGTATGGCCTGAGGTTTTGCCTGTGGCACAGAACGTAAAGAAACCACCACCATCGGCGCCTTTCTCGGAACCATCCCGAAGCTGCATCCGAATGGCCACCTTTGACGACAATCACGTCTGCCATGCTTGTCGTTCCTTGAGACCGGTGTCAAAAAAAGCCCCGCTTCGAGGTGGTCATCCGGATGGAAGGCAGAGTGCCTTGGCGGGGTCTTGCTTCAGCCCATTCCGCTCCATTCAGATGTGGGAGTTTCCGAAATCAAGGGGGTACCTTATTGTGGGGTGCTTATAATGGGGATCCTACTATTTGAGGTACTATATTAGGGTCCCCTATTTTCGGAAAGCCCCATGTGTCAGCATCATGCGGAGATGAAAGATGGTGTTGGTGCTGATGGACCTATCATCGGTTTGCATTTTTGTTGGCAGGGCTTCGGGCACGGGCCTCGGTGCTTGTGCATGTACTTTACTCGCATTGACGGAAGGAGAGAGAAAGAGAGCAGTTCATAGCGACTCGGTTGTGAAGCTCTGGACCACGAAGCTTCCACAGAAATGGCCTGGACACGTGTTGTGAGTCAGGTTTGCCGGTTAGGCTCCGACACTTGGTCGTCCCGTGTCGAGGACGGCCCTCAAAGTCTGTCTGGGTACCCCACGAAAAGGTGCAGAATGGTCCATCGTGCAGTCTAAACAAACGTAATACACACTGCACGAAAAAGAGTGGTTTCTGTTCTTGAAGCGCGGCTCGCGAGTGAGACTGATAGACATCGTAGCGCAGGAATCTTGGTCCGTTCGCGATGGCAGATCGCCCGTCCTAAGGTGCACAGCCATGCTCGTCCAGCAGATGCCAGCCGTCCATCACTGTGGCTGGCTGAAACAAGACTAACAGGGAGTCCTTTGTTGCTTGCCATACGAAAAGGAAGCGGGTAACAAAGCGACTTGCTACACAGACCCGACCTGTAGCCTTTGGAAGACTTGAGGGCAAAGCGACGCTTTTCAAGAGCTAGGTTCACGGTCCACTCGTAAATTAAGTTCTTTCGGCCCTGGAATTAAGCTCGAGACCCTCGCAACCATTCACGAAACCCCCACACACCCAAGCCTAAACTCATAAAGCTTGTAAGTACTTATGAACACAAAAAGCCAAACCCTGAACCCCAATGCTAGACAACCTGTACCCCCAGAACCCAAGCACAGCTAAAGTCATTGCTCCGACAAGCAGAAGTTGTTGAATCCTAGTTGCCTGTGGTTATCCTGCTGATGGACGGAATTCTGCATTGCTTTCACAATTTTGAGCTGTTGACATTATGTCACGTTCTCTTTTGGTGACTAGGGCATTCAAAAGTACCAATGCTGTTTCAATCCATGTCAGAACCAGATAGTCACCCTTACGTAAAGGCACCCTGTGGGGTCTCCCCGCTCCTTAGGACATATAAGTCCACCCCAAGGCCCCAAGGCCCACAGCCCAAACCAAACTCCTAAACCCTAATCATCCCTAGTCGTTGATGCCTTGTGCAAGCGTAAGAGTCGAAGCCCTGCAGTCCCATCCGCAGAGTGTTTCTTGTAGTTAATCCTAGTGTAGAAGCCTAAATAATAATTACCAATATTCTTCCGTAGAGCTCCTTACTACAAGTGTACCATAATATAGCCCCCCCCTCAAATACAGAAGCAACCCATTGCCCCCATATTGTCCGAGGCAGCCAGGTGGGCAACGGCCCGATCACGCTCAGCTTCCTGCGCCCACAAAAAGGCCGGCCATGGAGAGGGATCCGAGGACTACCCCAAGGGTTACTCTAAACATGGTTACAAGGGTTCCTACAAAGGTTGGATTGGGGTTGAGGGTGCAGAAGGTTTAGGACTTTGGTTTGGGCTTTGGGCGTTAGGGGGTGGGGTTGAATGCAATTGTGCCAGGGTATGGCTCCAACCTCTGAGTGCTTTGCCCAGAGGTAGACCCAAACCCGAAACCAACAGCTCCCCTAAACCCTAAAACCAACAGCTCTCTCTGGTAAAAAAACCCCTAAACCCCTAGAACCCCTGAACCCTAATGCATGTCTCACGTTGTTGCAGACCTCGAACCACATGCCTCGCCTGGAGTGTCCGAGCGTGAGCGCCGAAACCCTAAACCCCAAACCTCTAAACCCTAAGCCCTAAACCCAAAACCCAAAACCCTGAACGGTTTAGGGACCCATCGCCGGGGCTAGGGCTTCTGGAGCTCCGAGTCCAGGTGTCGATCCGGCCGAGCACTTCGCTACATACAGGGCCTATTCGTAGTAAATTTGGGCTACAGGCCTCAATAATTAGACTAGGGTGTTGGGGCCCCTTTTTATTATTTATAATAAGGAACCCCCTCTCGTAGTAAATTTGGAGCTAGGGGGCTCCGAACTCTGAGGTTTGGGGGGTAAAGGGAACTTTAAGGCTTCCGTTGTGGGTTTAGGGTTTTCCTTTCTATGGCAACTTAAGCTTCCCTAAACCCTAAACCTTAAACCGATCAGCGAAGCGGGTGGGAAAAAAAACCGACTTAAGTCCGTAAGAAGAGCCCAGACTTTTTGTCAGTGATCTGGTTGTCAGCATCACTAATGCCTGTTTTTGCTGAGTGGCTCGAGGCTGCCGAGGGCTGAGGGCGAAGGTTTCTTCGGGTTTAGGGTTTAGGGTTTAGGGTTTAGGGTTTACAATCCAAGCCCCATGCTGAAAAAGGGTTTAGGGTTTAGGGTTCAGCAAATTTTCAGGGCTCGCTGTCCAAAACACTAAGCCCGGATGATGCTAAAACGAATATGGAAGCCTCAATAGTCACCAATTTTGCCGCTAGGGTTCCTTTTTGTAAATGTACTATAAAGGGGCCCAAAACCCTACTCTAATTATTACGGCCCCTACATGACTCTTGGTCGTGTTTCTGGAGCTAGATCGAATCCCAGTAGGCTGTGAGACCGGGGCGGGTTCTGAAGTCAGAAGTCATTTGTTTGCAGCTCTTTTCAAGAAGGGTGAAATACAGGGTTCCATGGCCTTCACGAGCTTCGGAGAGTGTCTCACAAAACTATGTGCTTGCGTCTGGGCCCTTCACACCGAGAACGCGCAGCCCCAGAGCGGGGGTCCCCCATTTCGTTCCTTCGACTTGCCACAGAAGACATGGAAGAAGACCAGGGGAGGTGTTGCATCAACATCTGCGGTCACGCCTATGCGAGAACCCCTGGAAACTAAGCCCCTCAAGCCCTATTCAAAATCCTACACTGTCAGAGCTGTGAACGCTGATCCAACCACTTCCCTAATACCTATACACTGCCGTGCATGCTTCCCATCTTGTCACACAGTAGTTGCGCTCTGCCGACTCAAGACCACATGCCTCGCCTGGACGCGAAGACCTGAACCCCCCCACATGCCAAGCCTTAAGGCCCGAAATCCGAAACCCCCAAGGCCCAAGGCCCGACGATACACACGGCCAAGACCCTAAATCATCCGTATCCCCAAAGTCTAATTCCGGACCAACTCATACCCTAATTCCTAGACCTCCAAGACTACCCCAGCACCTTCGGCCTTTGGCCACAGGCGGGACCTTTCTCTTCAAAATGGCCTTGCAGGCCCCCAGTGGGCCTCTGACGCTGGGCAGAGTGGGGGGTCTAGTGGCGCTGTAAGTTACTGTACGTTTTAGGGTTTAGGGTTTAGCTATAAGAGTTCCGAAGAGTTATATGAGGCTTCCGTGAGAACGTTATGCCGTTATGTTGTTGTTTTGGGGAGAGTTTGGTGCAAAGGGGTTTACCGGTGTCGGGTTTTAGGGCTGTGGCATCGAGTGAAGGTTTCGGGCGTAGATTGGGGATGTTGATAGACAGGGTCTACTATAGTTTACTGGCAACTGGTTACCGTCAAGGTCGATTCGAAATGGGTCAGGCTAAGTACCGTTTACTACTGGTGTCTTCGTGGGCCTATACTACGATCAAGAAGGGGTGGCATCATGTGCTTGGTGTTTCGGCTTGGGGGCTCGAGGGTTTGAACTCAGGCGAGCTACTGGCCTCCCACGTAACGATGGAACTTGAGGACATTAACGTTTATGGCCTTCGTGCCAGTATGCTCTGTGCAGCTTGGCAACCTTTCCGGAGTCCAGAACCCAGAAAGGTTTTTTTGTGCGGAGGCCCCCAAACTAGTATTGGCAATTCCCTAACCCTCCACGTACCTACCACGTAGGGCCCTCGGGGCTCTAGTACCCTATATCGCAGGTACCTCGGTCGGAGGTTATAGAGATTATTTAGGCCCCCCACAAGACATAGCCGGGCCTGCAGGGGCGCGAAAAGGCCGAAGCCTGTCCCAACCAAAAGCCTCCAACGCCATGAAAATACTAAAACTCAGACCAGAGGGTCATAGAGTCATACAGACTAATTATAGGGGCTATTATAGGCTTCAGGGTTTAGGGGTTTAGGGTTTAGGAGTCATTGACTACAGGGTTTAGGGTTTAGGGGTTTAGGGTATGGTAGCCCCCGTCGTAACCCATCTTTGCCGTGGCTTTATGAGGCTGCACAAGGAGTGGCAGGCGCACGTGACTGGAGAAGGCCTCGCGATTTCATTGAAGGATGCCAAGTACGAAGGGCAGTCGTGGGTTCCATATTCTCTAGGTGCGGCTCTAGGGCTTCAGGCAGGTACTTGGAGGTTCATGGTTAGTTATAAGTGAAGTTATAAGTCCCCTAATATGGGTTGTAATTCTAGTTACCTTACTTATAACCCCACTTATAACCACCCATGAACCTCCAAGTACTGTTTATGTCAGGGTTCATGCAGGGCACAGGTCTCCGAGCATTCGGGGCGAGCAGCTCTCCATGTGGATGGTTGTCAAAATTATGGTCCCTTTTTGGGTCCTTATTATAATACGGCACCTATTATTTAGGGTACTCCAAAAGGGACCATAATTTTGACAACTACCCATGTATCAGGTTCAAGGGGAGGTTCCAGTGGCGACATTTGGTGCAGCATGAGGCTTGGAGTTGCCGTGCGCTTGGAGCGTCGTGCTTGACCACGTCCAAAGCCCTAGCTCGGAACAAGATCCTCCCTGTGAAACCTAAAGAAGGCCTTTCACTTGGGGAGAGTTTGGCCGCGAGATGCTGCCTCAGTATCCTAGGAGAAGATCAATTCCCCTGGCAGCAAGTATTTCGGACACAATTGCACTAGTCCTGGGGCGAAGGGCTGGATGTTCCTCCCGAAATCCCGACAGGAATGGCAGAAGCCGTTGCTAAAGGAGAAGGCTTCGACTTTGTTCCGGCAAACGACTGGCACGACTTCCTCTACCAAAACTGGCTCCTCGCACACATGTGGAAAGTGCTTGTCGAGCACTTACATCATGAGAGCCGAACCACTCAAGAACTCGAAGCCACATCGGCTCAACGTTTGGGAGGGGGGGGGGGTAAGGCTCAGGTATAGGGTCAAGAGATTGTGGCTGTTAGGTGTTTTGGTTTTGGTGTTTAGCGGTTCGGGCTCACCAACCCAAGCCGGACACATGTAAAATCTACACTTATGAAAAGCATATATAGAAAAGCTGTACGTAGAAATCTGCAGCCGAAGAAAGCGCAAAGCAAAAATCGTAGACTGCGCGTGGTAGTAGCTCGAAAACAAGATACAGGGCAGATTGTGAGCCCTAAACCCGGCGAAAGCCGAGTGTGGCAGCGAAAAACCCTGCTGGGAGAAGGTGAGGCTTCAGAACGTGTAAAGGATAGCAACCCCCATTTTCAGAGCCTGCTTTGGCTCGCTATTGCTAAAACTCAATGTGTCGAAATGCGTGGCTGCGTGGCCCCACAACAGATCCGCACAAACCACTTCCATCCGGGAGCTGAAAGCACGAGTCTTTCAAATCCCTGGCGTCACTTATTTTTTTTTCCAAGCACGACCGAGCCATCTGAGCGCTGCATCGTTTCTGTAAGCCACCGAAGTCGACCCCACAGCCTCGTCAAGCACTTTCTGGCTGTCTCACCCTTGGTAGAGTATTCAGGGCAACTCTAGGAGTCGCCCGGTTTACTCTTCGGGGCTATTCTTAATTTCTCACACCATACCAGCAACTCTCGAAGCAAAAGCCTTCGACGGCTAGCAACCTTGCCGTGGCTTCCTGCCATTTTCGTGTTTGGGGTGTCGGTTTGGGGTAGTCGGACCTGGGGGAGCACGTTGGAACATGACCACCACACGGGCACATCTGGTTCATTGCTGGACTCTTCGCTTCACCTTCACTTACTGTTGTTGGTTGCTCTTGTGCTAGCTTTACTATGGTGTCGCAGGCAGGCCGAACATGCTCCTGTATCCTTGCATGCATTGGTCGAGCGCACGAGTCGAAACCCAAGGCTGTTCTTGGCAGCTGGTGTCCTTTCCCTCTTCCTTTGCTGGCTACTGTGTGCCTGGCGAGCCTGCCGAAGGAGCAGCCGAGAGCGTGGCTCGGATCGGTACATTGATTCCCTCGTGGGTTGCGGTCTTGGGGCTGGCAGGGATTTGAATTCGGCGTTGCGTTTCGGATTGTGGGTTTGGGGAAGGGGGTTTTCGGGGATGACGACTACCCGTAGTATACCTACGAGCTAACATGGGGGCTGGAGTAATGTGTAAAGTTATTCTGAGGAGTTCCCGAATCTGTACAACTGTTTAGTTATAGCCCTTTGCATAGTCGCCAAGTAATAAAATCATCGTGTCTTCTAGCCCCATCTACCCCAACAGGATATGCTGTCGATCCGTTCTTGCGATGGGATCTTCGCACTTCAAAAACTAGCTTGCTGGTCGTGGTTTGCAGGGGCATAAAAAACTTCGTGGTTTCGGTTATTTAACTTATGCCGGGCTGATGGCTGTAGAAAGCTCACCCTTCAGTACTATGATGCATGAATTATTTTTTCGACATTGTGTTGGTGTACTTTGCTATTGTTGGGATCTTGATGTCGAGATCAGCATTTTGCTTGCTGGTTCTGGGTTTGTGGTGCTTGTGTGTCATGCAGTCTTGTCGGGGAACTGGCATGATGGTAGCATAGGTGGAGTTGGAGGGTATCGCTCGCAGCCACAGTGATAGAGGGTGTCAGCTCTTTTCCATTCTGTGCATTCCGAGCGCACAGGGTTTTTGCTCAAACGGTCCGTCTTGTTTGTTGCAGATTTGCGCAGAAGTTAGTGGTTGTTGGAGTTTTCGGCGAACTTCCGACAGACTTGATGATGCTAAGGGCCTGCTCATCTTCAGGCTTCGCAGAACTGTGCATTTCAGTCTGTTGGGTGACTCCGAGTCTCTTTTGAGACTTCCTGCTGCGAGGCCCAGAGCCCAATAGCGGACGGTGGCTGACTGCAGCTCAGGTGACCTTGAGATTGCTCTAGAACGCGAGCGGGCACAGATCCGAGATCTGAATGAGCGCGGGGGACTTGTATGCCATGAGCTTCACTTAGACCCGTGTGTCTGGTCATAGCACCCAATCGCGTGATGCTGCGTTCTAGAGGCAAGCCCATGCCAGAATCGACCAAAGTACGGAGACGAGGTCTGCAGCGCGCTACGCTTTACTCTCCCGCCGCTGCCGCCGGAAAGGCGGCCCAAGAAGCGATATTTGTCGTAATGTCGGGGCCTAAATAATTACCTATAGTATTTTGGGGTGCTCCTTAACAATTATGGTATAATATACCCCAAAGCCCTATTCTAATTATTAAGGCCCCTACATTAGGCTGTTGCTGGTGTCAGATGTGGGCTTTACTTGCAAGCTGGGCAGCTACAGCCTTTTTGCATCGTTGCACTTTGACAAGTCCAAACAGCCATTCTGACGATTAAGGGCTCCTGCATAAAATAACTTACGGCTAAGGGATTCTGTAAGCTTTGGGAGCTCTAAACCCTATAAATCCTAAACCCCTACTTGGGGGCAAAGGGCGCCGGCCGTGGCTTCGCACCCGGCCGTGGCTGGGCCGGCCTCTTGGCACCAGAGCTTCGGAGCGATCTGGTTGTTAGTAGGTAGTATTATTAGGGGTTTAGGGTTTTAGGGTTTAGGGGTTTAGGGCCTTCTGAACCCTACTTTTGGCTCTCTTAAAAGGGCCTTATTGAGAGGGTCTATATCCCCAAGGGTCCCCCTAATCCTAGCTCCCAGGTAGGTAGGGTTTGCGGTTTATGGAGGGTTCGCGACGTTGCAAGCCAGTTGCAGATAAAGGGGAGACTTTGAGGTTATACCTTAACCCTAAATAGCCACCCTTTCAGTGGTGTCTTACTGTGACATTCCTTAAAATATAAAGGTAGCTTTTTAGAGTCCAGGGTATCTGGGTGTGGAGTGGGCTAAGAAGACAAGGAGGACTCTAAAAAATCAGTGCTGGGCTTGTTGTTGATACTCTGGCTCCTTCCTCTAAGGCTGGTCCTAACTCGATTCGATGTGTGAGCTCACGAGCTGCTTCGAGCCTAAAGCCCTGAAGCTCTCAAAGTCTCGACTGTAGAACCCTAAAGCCCCAAAACCGAAAGCGGTAAACTCCAAACCCCTCAACTCTTACACGTCCGAAGCCTGAGTCCCTATAGTTTGCACTAAGCTCTCTAGAATCCGAGCTCCCAAAAACCTTGTTCGCAAACAGCCCTCGCTCAGTCCGAGCACTCCGTTCCCCGAAGGCCTGCACCCTCAAGACCCCCAAGATTGCAGGACCTTATCATGGGGGGTAGCTTTCGAAACGATAGGGTCCCTTTAAGTTTTGGGACTTAACAAGGAGCCCTACTTCAGAGAACTACCCAGAGGACACTTCATAGAAATGTCACAGAAGCCTGTAGAACCTTGTTCTAAACCCCCGGAAACCCTGGAGCCGATTACGAGCCATAAGCCCCGCGATCTGGTCATCCTTCAGATCTCCTATGGAGCGCTTTAACGGAACCCCTGGAGCCCCTTAAAAGGAGCCCCTGAGTGCATAAAAGGAGGGAGCTCTTCCAGCAGCCCCTTAAAAGGAGACCCTTAAGGGAGCCCTTGAAAGACGGAGAAAGGCCGCGGAGCGGGTGCTGGCGTCGAGCTGCGCGACTTCCGCCGTTAGGAGAAACGTAGCAGAACTCGTCCTGGTTTCGGGGTTCCTTCACGGGTTATGAAAGGTCCATAAGGGTTCTCTAGGGTCTTTGCTTTAGGGGTTTAGGGTTGAGGGGTAATTAGCTGTGCTTGAGCTTCGGCAACACCTTCTGGAGGCCTGGATGCAAAGTGGCACAGGGGTTTGGAGTTTAGGGGCATGCGGTTTGCTTTAGGGAATTGGGGTTTAGGGGTGGGTTTAGGGCTTCGTGCCCATGCTTCGCGGGTTTTTGGCGGATTTTAAGGTAAGGACTGTTAGGGAGTAATGCTGCTCCCAATTCAATGCACAGTCCTAGGCCCGAGCCCCGTTTTTCAAGCCGTGTATGAGCGTGGCTGCTTGAGATTTGGGACTGTTGGGTTTTCAGCTTCACCGAGTGCTACTAGTATGGGATTTTTCCTGGACTTATTGTAGAGGGGGTTCTGAAGATTTTTTGCAAGCACTTGGGTCAGCCGTCTAAATAGTCAGGGAACCTTGGACAGGTGCCGACGAAGTACCGTCGAGATGCCAGTATACTAGCATGCGATTCCTGAGCGATTTTCCCTAAAACCTAAACCCTACCCTAAACCCTTGTCCTTGAACCATCTGCGGCCTGAAAAAACGTCTACGTGTGCCTGCTTGCGGCTGTGTCGGCTCAAGTGGCGAAACGCGCCATGATGCATTGGTTGGGCGGTTGAGCTTCACGGCTGCATGGAAGAATGAAAAATGCAGGGAGCCATACCCAGGCCCCAAAAACACCCGTGAAACAGCTATAGCAACCCGATATTATATGCTCTCTTACCTACGACAAGGCTGTCTCCTTCGCAGGCCGAAGTTGCCTGGTCCACCGGATTAGGCATGTTGTTGTTTCTGGTTGGGGCTTTTGCGACCGAAGGATGAAGTCCTGTATCCTAATCCTGCCTTAAGTACCTCACAGAACCGGCCGAGATCCTAGCTCGTTCCAACATCATCAGATGGACGAAAAGAGCTTTCGCGGAAACCGTAGGATAGTACGCTCGACGCAGAGGCCTGAACTTAATTAACCCTTAAATCCTGAACCCTGACCTCATGAAGCCGTGCCTGCCTTGTGCGAGCGCGCGAGTCGGCTGAACCCAAACTTAACATGTAGTAGGTGAAACTCCTAGCTGAACCCCAAATCCGAAAACCCGATCGGCCACTCCGCAACCCTACAACCCGAAGCCAAACGCAAAACGAGCCACGCACACAAAAGTGAAAAGCGCATCTGCTACTCTGAGCCTTACACCCAAGGATGCTCTTACTAAAAGCCTCCAAACAGAATCAAATATCAACCAACCCCCGAACCCAAGGAATCTCTTACCAAAAACCCCTGAAACACCTTAAACCCCGAAGTGAACCCTCCCCCAAACCCCAAGCCCCAAAGCCCTTATTATAGTACCTTTTCGATCCCTTCAAGGAACCCTATTTTTTGCGAGCTTTCTACACCACTCGCACTTCACCGTTGCAAGCCTTGAAAAGGAACCCCTCAGCTCCTGTTTATGTGTAAGCCCTATAACTCTTAAAGGAACCCCCTAAACCCTAAACTGAGGAGCCTTGCCTGCCTGTAAACCGTAACTGAGGGAAAAAAGGAACCCCCTCAGCTCCTTTTTCTGTTAGGTTTGGAAGCTCCGTGGAGTTCCTGGAGCCTGAGAGAGGGACTTGCCGAGTGGCTGCCCTTAGGGGCTTACTTTAAGGGTCCTTTGAGGGTTCCTTCAAGGGTTCCTTCCAAGGGCTCCTGTAAGGGTTCCTTCAGGGATTCCTTGAGCTGTTCCTTTAAGNNTCCTTTAAGGGTTCCTTTAGGGGCTCTAGGCTCTAGGGGTTAAGTCTAGGCGTTAGGGTCTTGGGGCAGGGGTTGCTATAACGGTTCCAGTTCTTTTGCGGTTTACTATATCTTGAGCCAGTATGTAGTTCCCGACCTTGGCCCTATGCAGCAGGAGACTGACACAGGTGCACCCGATCGTACTGTCCGCTACACCCTAGAAGATGCCTGGCAGCCGGCTCTGAAGCTGAGGAATCGCCATCAGTGTTAAGATCGGGGTCTAAATAATTACCCATACTGTGTTGGGGGTTCCTTATTTTCACTATGGTATAACATAGCCTAAAACCCGCATTCTAAGTTTTAAGGCCCCTGTGTTAGGCCATAGAGACCCTCAGCCGCCGAAGCCAGGAATGGCCGCTGTTAGTGGACCGTGCTTGAGTGTACCGCTTGCTGCAAGGCGCCGGGGTGGGGGGGGGGGGGGGGGG